TTTGCTCTTCTATATTCTACTGTTATATTTAATGTCTTCCATAATAATTCACACAATCATTGGCAGATCGACAAATAAACGAACACGAATTCTGCCTGCTCACTCAGCACCAATTTGGGTCACCACCAGCAAAATTGATAACAATTTACACCTTAATATGGAACACATTTTGCAATTAACCCACTTTGGAGAGGCGATTCCGTGCCTGGAACAGCGATCCTCCTTCTCACTCAAGGGGTAATTTGTGAAAATTACGACTTCCCATCAGTCGGGCATTTTATTGTCTTTGTTGTTAATATAACATTTAGGCTAAATGAAATACTTTCGCTTTGTAACACCCTTTCAAAGGGTATAAAGGTTTTAACTAAGGGTTAAAGAATAAGGAAGTGGATAAATATTATTTAAGCACAGAACTTGCAAATCAAAAAATTTTTTAACTCTTAGTTAATACAAAAATGTATTTTATAAGTAGTTGGTATATAATAATCAATCATAGAACCTTAAACTCAAAAGTTTATTTTACCATTATTTATTATAAAATAAAATTCTTATATGTTAAAAAATTTTTTTGAACAATTTAAAGACTATTTTACCTAGGGATATTTATAGATCGACCTCGAAAGCGTATTATCTTTCCGGTTTTGCTTTCATTGTTTTGATATTTCTGCTTCGTTTCGCACTTAATTTGTACTTTGCTTTTTCGCATTCTACTCACACGCACTTTCTTTCACAAAAGCAGCTCACTTGTCTTGAATTCAAGAGCAGAAACAAGACCCATTACGAGACATTACGAGACGAAGAGTGTCTTCTGGCACTTCCATCTTCCAGCGGTGCTGTAATTTCGCAAGATTTTGTAATTTGCGCATGCGTCAGGGCGTCGGTAACCCGGTTTTCACCGTTAGCCGGTTAAATCTGTTGCTAAATTCAAAAATAAATAACAAATGCTCGCGCACATACAATTTGCGTAAAGCATTTTGCGTTCGCATCCAATGAGTAATGGGTATCTGATTCATTTTGGCCAGCGTCGCTTGTCAATTTTGACAGCTATGCCCATTGTGTGGCTTTTTTCTCGATCGTTTTGTGGAGCAAGGACGTAAAACCCGTCGATTTGGCAAGACCTTGTATTTCCTGCTTTCACCCGATGTCTTTTCTTTTTTGGCCCGCCCCCACGTGCGCAAGACGACCAAATTTGGTTAGGGGGCAACTCGATCGCGGTGTCTGGCCAAAAGAAAAAGCCCCATTAAAATAAATCAACTCTTTTATATGCCCGAAAGGTGTGTAATCGAGGCGTGAATTGAGGCGACTTAAATAAAAAGGGGCGGGATAATGACCATAGGTGGCTTAGGCTGCCAAATTCAATTTGCATTTGTGGCATCTGAACTTGCATATCAGCATTACCACTTGGGCTCAAAGAGACACCAACTCAAATGGGTTTTTTTGCTGAAATACTATCAAATGAAATACCGTCAAATCAATTAAGACCGCGAATTCTTCAGAACAGAGAGACCAATATTAACCATGGTAACATTAATGGTATTTTTCTCCACTAATTCCTTGAAGAAAATGAACCGGGAAGTCTTGAGAGCAAGGGATCTAAAAAATACCACACTACCATTTTTGATATGTTTAATTTCATTATGAAAAGTCGTAGATTAACTTGTGAATAAAATAAGATATCCAATGTTTTAGAATAAGAGGAAATTGTCAAATGATTAGTTTTTTGAAACTATCAAATTGTTATTAATAACATGAAATTTATTTTCTGTGTATTATTATTTCGCCTTTATCTCATATTCCTCAGACTCATTATGAATTCCTCCTTCTTATTTCACTTCTAAGCTTATACAAATTTCAGATAAAATTTCCATATCTGCAACTGATGGGCTTCATCCAAAGCTCTTTTTTTCTGAGAAAAGCACTATAGAAACATCCTTTCTATGGCAAAAATAAACGTTATTCTCACCTTTCCGGCAATTAGATATCAACCTTCTCGAGTACAATACCCTATCGATTTTCTTGAGGCGGCGACAACATCCAGACAAAAAAACACACACTTGGCCGGGGACTCAGCTTGCAAAGTCAAACTAATCCGCTTAAAAGCCTCGATTTCCGACCAGAAGCTGAAACAGAACCAGAACCAGAATGGAAACCAGAAAATGAACCCAGACAAAGAAAACCTGGCGTCGCCTGGTCATTTGCGATTGAGGCGAGAACTAAGCTCTGGCAGTGCGGATTTGAATGGATATTGATTTCCAGCTGGGGAAATACATGAAAAGCGACTTGGCCAAGAAAGATGAGGTAGTGAGCGAGGTAAATGAGGTGGCCAGGAGGCACGTGACAACGCAGGTGCCAGACATGTGATTGTATCTTATAGAGGGTTAACCCTCTAAGCACCGCAAATTAAACGAAGATAATGTGAAATGGGATACATATGGGATTGCTTTTCGCATTGGTAAACATCATAGGTGTTGTAAATACTTGTAAATTAAATTATATTCTTTACTTTAGCAAATTTCCATGGGTTTTCTAGGCTTACGATCTAGCTTTAATTTAACATGCTAACGGAAAAACAACTCTTAATACCCCAAAACAATCAAAACTGAGACTGGAAATATTAAAGATAGCTTTGAATTTAATGTTATGTAAACACTTGTTTTACATTTCTTACTTTAATTTTTCATCTACCTATAGATATAAGCAGATATATAAGATGCTACCTTGAAAAAATATAAGAATCTGGGGAGGCAGTGGGAGATTTTACAAGCTTTTCCAATGGCACACTACCAAATTTAGCTTATAATTGTTTGGATTCAACCCCGTATCAACACTACAAATGTTGATAGTATAAACCTTTAATTTTTCCACTATTTACTATTCAAGTCAACAATTAAGTTACCATTATTTTTGGCTTAGGCTTCATATAAGTATTAATATCTCAAAAATACAGAGACTGAGGAACCAAGTAATCTTTCACCGCTGATCAACAACTAAGTTACCTTTTTTTTTCGCTTGACTTTATATAAGTATTAATAACTTATAAATACGGAGACTGAGGAATCAAATTAAAACCTCTTTCACCAGTGAACAACAATTAAGTTACCATTATTTTTGACTTAGGCTTCATATAAGTATACATACCTTATAAATACGGAGATTGAGGAATCAAATTAAAAACTCTTTCAACAGTGCATGATCGCTTTTTTGACAGGTGATTAATGGGTTAATGTGTCTATTTTTATGCACCCAGCTGGCACTAAGTTGGCTTTAGCTGGGCCCGGGGATAAGTGGCCAAGAGGCTGGCTAATCAGGCCCAAAGCCAGAGCCATGAACCACCAGCCACCCAATCCAAATCCAAACCCAACCCCACCCATCCGCCGGTGACCCACTTGAGCATGCACCGCTCGTGACATTCGGCAGGGAAACGTGCAGAAGCGACGGGAAATCGACAAAAAGACAAACAAAACAGCGAAACGTGCAGAACGTCACTTTTGAGCCGCCTTTTATTTTGCGAGAGATGCGTCACAGCGAAAAGTGTTCGTGAAAGAAATGTGCGGAAAATCAGGAAATGTAAGCGGTGAGAAGTGCGCATTTAGTACCGCACTGCAAAACGCACGATAGACGCCCGAGACCAAATAAAGCTAAAAACAGCAGCGTAGACAGCCACAATGTTGACAATTGTTGGAACTGACAGTTTGACGTTTTAACTCACGCGCCAAACGTCAAACGGCAGCAACAACACAATGGCCACATCAACAACTATGTATGCATTTACAAAAAAAAAAAAACAGCAATCTAGGCAAATCCACCGAGCAGACAACTCAATGAGCCATTTTGATGGACACCTCCGACGACAGCTACACGGCGAACGAATATATTTGACAATTATCTATGCCTGATTTCTGCAGCATTAACGGATCGATGTTGAAAATAATGCCTAGAAACAGAGGTCAACAAGTTGATCTGTCAGCTCCAGTCGGAAATAATTGTTAAATAATACAATTATGTTTTTTGGTATGGTTCAAGGTTGTCTTGCTTGTTTCGAGTTTGACATTGTGAATGGAAAAATTATCTATATTCTAGAATATGAAGAGGAAATCATTTCAGATTGATTAAATGTTATAACTGATTGACGTATTATTATACCATAATATTGAAAAGTTTATTAAGCCCTTTAAAGATATTTTAAAAATTTTTAGGCATTCTGAAAGGAAAATGTATCTTGGTTCTAGAATATTAATAATAAATCATTATATAAAGGAAATGATTTTACTGATTGAAATCCTCTTACACCATAATATTAAAAAGTTTCTGAACCCCATTAAACGTATTTTAATCATTTTTAAGCATTATTATTATTATTATTCTGAACTTAAAAATTATCTTGATTCTAAAATATGAAAATAAAATCATTTTTGCATTCAGGAAAAGATTTTACTCATTGAAATATTTTTATACAATAATAAAAAAAGTTTCTTAAGTCTTTTAAAGGCCTTTCAATCATTTTCAGGCTCACAACATAATGTGAAATTTAAAAGATTTTTAAAGATGGTTCACATTTTTCTACAATAGTGTGCACCTGCAATAAAGGCATTAAAATTTCTTAAGTGCCAATACCTAAAAATATAAAAATTTTGCATTTCCAATGCACTATTGCCCCAAATGACCCATGTCTGATAAAAAAAAACTAAACCAATGGTTAGGAATGGGAATGAACATGAGAATATTTGGTTCAAAGAATGTGACATGAGTCGCGTGCGATTCGTCTCGATGATACTTTTATTATTGTGTCTTGCCAGCTATCTGCTTTTTATAGTATAATTGACACTCTTCGTCCAGAACTCATAAATTAATAGCAATTGGCGCAATGTGCAACTGTAAATTGATGGCCGACCAGTAGAGAAAAGAAAGAAAGATGCAACGACCCGATCGGAGATCTTTTTGTGTGGGTTGACTACTTATAAATAGAGGAATGCCATGGGATGGAAAGGCATTCGGTTCATCATACGTAGTTAGAAAGAAAGTCGAGTGGAAATTAGTCGGACAATGGAGGCTGCAAGTGTAAGTGAGTTGTGTAAATGCAACCAGGAAGAAATGTCTAGCACTTTGTTGTGGTCTCAGTACAAATTATTCAATGGTGACAGAAAAATAAAGAGGTCTTATGTGTAGGCTGAAGCTGAGAATTGCAATAGTTACACGTCTTTTTTCAATTACATCAATTTGAGCACATATACGTTGGTAAACAGTTCACATATTAATATTCCTTGGTACTAAAGTCTTTTTTATCGTCAGTAATTACTAACTTTTAGTTCCCGCAATTTTAATTACGTAGTTCTCACATTTTAATGTATTACCACAAATTTTGATTACGGCTTGTTAACTTTTCAAGAACCCACGGCAGCATTTTCGGAACTTCTTTTGCGTTTGGTAACCCGCCAGTAACTGAAGTGGAAGCCAATTGTTGACGGTTGCTGCCTCCGATTCGATACGTATACGCATTATTCACACAGAAATCCATTGTATGTTTAGGACAATGACGACAGCAGCGACCTAGAATAGAACAAACATATATTCCATATAATTGGCTGAGCGTGTTAGTTATTACATCACACAGCAAAGTACGTATAAAAGGGAGGCTCAAAGAAATCGTAAACCTCTGAAGTGAATTTTCCCTTCCTTCGGGATTTTATTTTACCGCATGTTGCATACTTTTAGGAAGCGAAGAAAATTTGCATTTTGTGCGTGCGTCAACAGAATTTAATTTGATTTATTTTGCGTTGCGGAAAAGTTTTCTTACTGCCGCAGCTAAAAATAAGGAAAGTAAAAAAGTTTTGTTGGCTCATTATTTATGTTACCTGTTGGCAAAATTGATAGATGAATTGTGCCCAGCAGTTTGAAGTACTGTCGTGTAAAGCTGGAATTTTAAGCGTGGCAATAACTTTATTAAGTATTCAAAACATTTTCATTATAGCCGTGATTGAGTATATATAATGGGACATATTAAAATATATATTTACCTAAGTTACTTTGAATTTATGGGTGAAAATAAGATGCAAAAACTTCAGGGACTCTAACACTGGGAGAAATAGATTGTTCGAAATATTAACTAAGTTGGTTTTAAAATGTTATATATATGAACCGATATCATAGAAAACTTGCTTTTAACATCTAATTGAAAATATTATTATCTGCTACTAAAAGTATAAAGACGGTCTTGTATGTATCTGGTTTGTTCGGGTCCTTGGCCCAATTTTGAGCATTATATTTAATACATTACATTTTAATCTTTAATAACTAAAAAACAATAAGTTTAGCTTATTAGTTTTATTTTCAGGAGAATATAACATCCGTTTTTTAAAATAATTAAAACATGAAATACAGTTCCGTTTTAATTATCTCTATTCAACATTGGGATCGGGTATTTAAATTTGCCATCCATGTTTTCGCAGGGAGGCCAAACGCAGCCTGCCACAGATCCATAGAGGCTTACAGCAATTATTACAACGAGTAAAAAAAATGCGAGTCTTAGCATTTTAAAAAGAGAATGATAGCACTATCGTGTTAAAATTGTTACTGAGTTATTTTGACTATGCCGTTCTGCTTATATAGGATCTATCTGACGACAAGGGCGCAGTATAAGCAGAGGCGGGGTAGGGGGTGCAGCTTCCTCCTCCTAAAAGCCAATTTAATATTATGTATAGCTCCATGATTAATTCTTAAAAATACCGGGGGACTTTTATTATTTTAACTTAATTAAAATAAAAGGTACTGATATAATTAGTTATTGTAAAAAAACATTTTTTTCTCAGTACCCCTGTGAACGATTACCTACCTGAAGAAAATAAATTTCTGGTGGCTGTAAGTCCCCTTCTCACTCGGTTCCGGCGCCTCTGCATAGTCAAAATCCGCTGATATTTTGAGTGAACGCAGTATATTGCTTATCAGAAAGATTTACGAGTGTCCTGACCTCATTAATTGCAAAAATTTGGTGTATTTACAAACGAACAAGATTATATGAAATACAAAATATAACAAAAAATACATGTTTTAAATTAAAATATGTTTGTTGTACTCATAAGAGACTCATTGGAGCCAACGAAATGTCAAAATATCAACTGGTTGTTGATAGTGCTTAATATAAAATGAAGACCAACGTAACATTACATTTTTTGAATATATATATATTTATTTTCAGAAATATTTTGGGAAATATATGTATATATTTTGGGATATATATATATATATTAAAAATATTTTTTAATGGGATATAGAGATATAAAAATGTGGGACTTAATTTTGAATAAGTATAGTCGTTTTGAAAAGGAACGTAGTCTGCGGTTGATGCTGAATGTCCCATACATATTTCCATGAGCTATTTTATGGAGCATACATTCAGGCTTATGTAAGACCAACAAATGCAATGGCTCTCAAACTGTGTTGCTTGGATAAGTCTTGTTGAACCAATAAAAGACTATCGTGCAAGTAACTTAACACATCTTAACAGTTTGTTTTTTTTTTTAATAGAAAACGCGGTTTTAAGGAAAATTAAAACTTAACTGGGTATTATTTGTTTAATGGAAATCAGAACTGGATGGGTATCTTTAGATTTACCTTGTCCCTAGGAGAGCAGGGAGTTTCCTTCAAAGTTCCATAGAGGCTAAACTCAAATAAATGTAGTATTGTGAATTTATATATATATATATATAGGCTAACAAACCAAACTCATTTTAGCTGTTTGGATCTCAGTTGCCCTACTTCTCAAGGTATCTTCTATGCCCCAATTGGAAAAGCGATGATCTGTAGCAGAGTCTGTGGAGACTAATTTGCATGTAATTTGTTGACTCGGCACCTTGGCCCTATTTCACTTACATTTTTTTTACTGCCACAAGATAACCGGCAGCAAGTCAATATTTTGTATTCGGAGTGCCAGACAGATGGTTATCATGGTGACAACAACGACCGAGCCAAATTGGACTGCAACTGGTGCTCCTTGGACAACTTTGCATATTCCTGGGTCCGCAAAAAAATATCAAGTTCATGCTGTGCGCTGTTTGTGTTACCTGATCCCCATTGTTGGTGTGGAGGGGATCATGTCTTCTTTTGGGCAAACTTAATGCAAGATCATTGGCCCAGTTGGCAACCAGAGCTTATGGAGGATCGAACCCAGTGGATCCCACTGATCTGTTTTCTTTCCGTAATGCGGAAGCTACTGTTTTGGTGTTTACCTCCGAAGGTGTCATTGTTCGCTTCTGGGCCATGATTGATTGGATGAGAAAAGTCGGTTCTCTGGCTTTGTTTTCAGACTGCAGATGTCATATCTTCGGTGTTTGTTAGGATAATGAGGAGCGAACTTGTGTGGGTGGTGTGCAAAGGAGAATATAACTCAAGAAGCTCCTGAGGTTTTGACTTCGTATTAAGAGTAAGTAAAACTAAAAGAGAAATCTTTGAAAAAATGTTTTCCTCCGCACATATATTTTAATTAAATTCGAAAACCGTTTTTTAATGGAGTCATTTCACATAATATGTATAAAAATATACAAGTAAATATACTGTAATTTATCCATGCCATCCTGTCTCGGCCATATATTTTCTCCCAATTATTTCGGAACTTATTTGTTATCGATCTCCAGACTTTCTGCTTTCTCCACCTACTTCACACCCAAGGAACCGTTCGTTTGCACCAGCCCACGTCTGAAATTTTCACCGCACTCGCAAACTAAACGCTCTTGGCCAACACTTTAATACCTTTAATTACGCCCCAAATATTATGGCTACCTCTTCATAACCGATATGCGATACAATCTGGTGTTTAATCAGAAAAGTAAAGAAAATAAAATGCATCCAATGGATGTGGAGATGGCAGGCCGAACTGCGAAGAGGGGACTGGAATGTTATCAGACGCCTGGGATCGGAGCATGCGCCACAGCCACAGCATCTGGAAAAGCAATTACACGCCGTGTAAGAGTAGCCGACTTACTATATAGTATAGGACCCACTACACCTGACAATGTTGCATATGTGCTGTCTCGGTTTACCTTGAACCCCTTGGTTTTGCCACTGAAACTGCGATTTCAACTGCTGCCGTTCGGCATGCAAATTGTTTCCTTAATAGACGATAATGTATTCCGTGCTAATTTACAGTTTACATTTCGCCATTGCTGCCCACGCGACCGAATCGTAAATATTCTTTAGTTATATGGTGTGCTTTTTTACGATCTTTTAATGGCTCACTTTACGCTTAACAGAGGTATAATATTTTATAGGTAGAGCTGCGTGAGCTGTGTCCAAATATTTATTTGTAGGGTCTGCTTATTGATATGACTCATTGATATCTAGAAAGTGCGAAGAGGATAAACCACAAAGAACTAATAATACATATAAGGAGTCTTTTAAATATTATTCTTATTAAAATGTTGTAAGAACCATTTATTTTCGGAAAATGTAAATACATACAAAGTAGAACTTAGGTATCCATTTAATCCCTTACCTTTTGAAATTTCCTATATCTCAGTTATTAAGAACCCCCCACCACCTTGTCATCTCACTGACATATCAGTTTTCAAACAAACGTTAACCCATTTATGACCTCGATTCATTATTGGTGTGTCTAACAATGGCAATTAATGGACATGCAACACAGACGGCAACTTTTGCTATGCTCCAGCAGACTCCAAACACAGAACAGACAACTTTATTAGCTTAATTAAAACTCTTCAAAAGGTTCATCAGAGCCTAGGGGGCCTAGAGTAGAACATAACCGAGCCGAACCGAAGTGAACCATTGGTTTCGCTTCTCTTGAAAAGAAAAATGCGTTGAATGCCGGCAATTTAGCAACTTTACAGCTCCACCGCTCTCTGGTCAGACCTTGCAGCTAATAATGGAAGCCTATCCCGAGTCCGTAGTGTCCAGTTCGGTTCGGTCCCAACTCCCCAGTTGAATGACGTTTTACTTGATTGCAGTTAATTTTTTCCCTCTTTCTTTGTCCCAGGCTCGAATGCAAATTCCCCAGCTCCAGACTCCCCTTTTACCCCGATTTTCCCTTGGTTTTTCTCTGGATTTCTGTGGTCTTGTGGCGCTGTAGAATCTTAAATCCAATTGAAGCCACAAATTTTTTTTTTGTGTCTCCCTATCCCAATCCCAAACGTAGAGTGGTCATAATAAAAGGAATTAAGTTGTAAAATGTTGGGAAAACGTGTTGAAAGATTTTGAGGCCTAAACGAATTTGCATGCATTGAAATTTTATGGACCATTTACGGAGATTTTGTTAAAGGGTTTAGGAGCTTAGAGCTTTTGTTTTTTTTAGAATAAAAGTAAGCTTAGGTTATGGAATGATTTCATAAATGAAACTTGTGCTGTATGGTATAATCTTAACAAAATTAGGTTTGGTTAAATGATTATGAGTGTTAGAAGAAATGTTTGTTGCACAACTTTTTTATAGGCGTTTATAGACAAAGTCATGAATTTAATTTGTAAAATAATATATAATTTCCAAAGCTAATATTGTTCTTTTAAAATCTAACAAGCCCATCCTCCAGGGCAGTGAAAAATGTGAATTTCATGACTCTTTTATTGCTGGCCATTACACCGCTCACCATTGAACTATTGACCTGAATAGTTTTCTTCAGTTGCCCACGAAGTCGTCAAGCTGATGACGTCGATGCTGATGATGCAGTTGTTTCGATGATGACTCGGGACTGATTTCAGCATGACTTTTGGATTGAAACATTTCGCCAATCGTCGAATGCAAAGGTGACAGGCAGGTCAGGCCAACAATGGGATGGAAACCCAATGAAAGGAATATGAAAATAGCTCTTTGATAAACCAACACAAAAGCTGGTCAATTTGCGAAGCCAATTAGATGGAAGGACAACTTCCGTGAGGAGAGAAGGAAACCCGTTTCGGGCGAGAAGGAAAACTTGTTCTTTTCGACCAATATCAATTACACAATGTGGGGGCTTGTAAAAAATTAATATTGTATCAGGCAGCATGGGCAGAATTCTTCGGGCCTAACTCGCTTATCTAATAGAGTCATAAAAAAACCCACACACACCGATAGCTCAGCTTATTCATTTTCTCTAAAGTATTACCAATATTGCCGACCAAAAAAATAAGAGAAAAACCTTAAGTACCATTTATGGGAGCCAACATTTTTGTGGCAATTAACAGCGTCAGAGTTCGATGCACAATTAAACGAAACTGTCAACAATTTATCTTCGACGACGTGACTTCCCAGGAAGACTTTTGCGCCGCCTTAACGGGGAATAGACGTGGCAATGAGTGCCATGAGTGGTATTGGAACTGGGCACTTAAAAGTAAAAGGGCCTCTAATTGGCACCAAATATGGGGCCAGAATCTTAGCTGAAGGAATTTCCCTTGGCCATATGAGTTATGTCAAAATGTGACAAAATGCGTGTAGTTGAGCCTTTCTCCTTTCCCGATAAATCCCCACGATCACATTCCTTTGCGATTGCCATTTAAGGTGTTCATTAGTCGCAGGTCGTTGGCAAAAAGTTGGACCTACGGGCCAAAAATGGTTATAAAATCTCATCAGCCAGAGATCACAGAAGACGAAGATCATCATTATCGGTCATCGCGATGTTGAAGGCAATGATAATGTGAAAGATCGATCAGAGTCCAATCAGCTGACTCTATATATATATGGATCTCTGTCCTTGCCTTTTGTCTTTCGGTTGGCATAACAGTAAACTCTTTTCACCAGCTCCCTGGATTGCCAAAATTGGCCTGTAAACTTGTCCAGTTCGAGTACGAAAATTAAGCGATTTTCGTTGTACAATTTACATTTTGAACCGAATTTCGATTATTGTCTGACGATCAGTTAGCTCTGAAGGTGTTATGCCCAAATACCGAGTAACTTTCACTTCTCTGACGGGCAAGACATGCCACTTGTGCCGCAGGACAAAAGACTTAAATACCCTCTGAAATGTGGTTGATACTAAGCGACTTGTTTACACTTTACTGGTTAGTTTCCCAGTTAAATAAAAAAAGACGTAATTAAAACAACGACAATTTAAAGTTTTCTATACTTAATCTCCATTTGTTTAATGGCAAGAGATTCTCAAAACTATTACTTTTCCATATGTAATTCCCCAAGTGTACAGGTAAAAATAAAATAAGAATTTCCGAATTAATGGCTTTCGGTAGCTAAATGCCAAGATCCAAGTAGACCGGTGTGGGAGTCGCCAGCAAGTGGCGTCTGGTTAATCAAAATATTTAAAACAGCATCCCTGCGGGCACAAGACTGGACTATGAGAACGAGTAAGGGGACTATAAATAGAGGCAGATGGTAAAGGATGAGCCGCATCTTGTGGCCCAACTGGCTTTATGAATTATGACAAAAAATAAAACCGAATGGGGTCTCCCTGCTTCTCCTATCCCTTTTTTCTCGTGACCATTTCATAATATTGCATTAAACAATATGCAAGTTAACGAATGCGCTTAATCATCGAAACCAGGGGGAGAATGTCGATCCGAGGGAGCGGATGAGAGGGGGGCGTTGAAATGACTTTGTAATTGCGCATGCGCGACATGCCCCAAGTGGCGGCCTCTTTATATCTGCCTCGTATTCGTATTTTTCGTATTGATAATGCCTTTTACGCGGGCTGCATTGATTGGCCCCAAATCACAGCTCCCCTTCTTGGGGCATCTCCATCGCCCTGGATCTGGGGATCTGGGGTCCCAATCCGAGTGACCCACTAAACGCAAAAAGGTTTCCCACATCTCGTCACGCAACATCGAACCGTTCTGGGCGTGATCTGGCATTTCCCTTTCGTTGAGTCGAGCTTGGATGTTTCTAAAGCCATAAAATAAATACATACCTCTGGAATTAATAGTTTGGTTACTGTGTGCTAATATATGTTTTTAACGGAGATCTAAGCTAACTATATACTCGGCCCGCACAATTTGAGGGTCAGGGTTTCAGGTTAGCTAAATTAATTTTAATGGTTTTAAATATGGGTAAGCGAAATATTATCTTTCGAAATACTTTTTGTTATGAAATTCAATTTATTTTGGAAACCCAAACTTCTCAACATTAAATTTTAAGGGATCTTGTAAAACATGTTCACAACTATCAACTGCTCCCCATATAAAAATGCGTGACCTAAGACAAACACTTTTACCGCACTTTAAACACTTGTGCTCTTCGCTACATGACCACGCATAAGAAACATTCTTAACGATCTTGCAGTCGTATAAAAACGAAATAACTCCTTCCAAATATTATGCACAGACGCAACCTGCCCCAAAAAGTTCTTTCCAGAAATTCCTTGGAAACGACCAAATTATGCAAGCCGAATAACTAATCAAGTGAGGGTAGATGCATCTGGAAAAAAAAGGGAAAATAAACTTCTTAAGTAGGCACTCGAATCTTTGGGCACTCCACGAAAGAAAACATTGACCACCCCGTGAGTTGAAAATGTGTTCACTAATTTTTCACTGGCTCTACAATAGAACGATGTTAACGCCTGTTTTTCCCAAATCGAAATAAGGGGTTCATCCAAAATTTACGATATTTTAAGTGTCATGCTGCGTTTTTTGATATTGACACTTGGCTCGTTTTAGGTAAGGTATATCATGTAGTTTGGGTCTTATAGCCCCTAGCTGTGCCGTAAGCGGCGCTTTGAATGAAGGTACTAATTAGAGATTTTTATGGGAAATTAATTTGTCCACGCCTCTTGAACAATGCTGTAAAATTAAGTAATAATTGCCGGTCAGGTTTATATTTTTTAGAACTATTCGGGGTTGAGATAAACCTTAAAAATGCCGACGATTTTATGGCCTGAAATCTGCTTAAGAGGCGTTAACTTTTGGTAATTCGATTAGCTAATCCTTTTTCTGGGGTAAACATAGGTAATCCCTTTTTAATGAGTAAATATAATATCTTAGGGGTGAAGTAATAAAATAAAACTAAAGATATATTTTTGATGTTGTAAGAATATATCGCAGACATATGCTATCAAAAATTAAATGGTTGTTTACGCTGCGTTGATTATTATGTAGTGTATAAGAGATCCCCTAAAGGTTGTGTTCCCACGCCTCAATTGAGTAAACTATACCGTAACTCATCATTAATTTTTAGGAAACCCAAATATCCTGCAAGGCATTTCTCTTTTATAAAACACAGCAGAATGGCTACCTTATGGTCTCGATCGTACTTGAAATGCCTTGTTAGCACTGGGACAGCACTTCACCCGCAATACGAAAAACGGTCGGCAATTTACATAACAAGACCAGTTCCCAAGGCAAAAGAAACAACAACTGGAAAAGACAATCAGTGGCGCTCTACAAAACTCCCGAAAGCCTGTCAACGCATAATCCATCAAAAGCAAAACGGAGGGACATGTGAGATAGTTAGCAAGCGGGGAATTGTGGTGGCAACTACTAGAAACAAACATTAGGGGGGTTGGCTGGCAAGATGGGAATGGGTATATGGGTACACTATATGTGTGTGGAGACCCCCTCTGGGCGATCGAAATCAATTTGGCGCTTTACCACACGAACATGCCCCACACCCGACACGCCCACCCGTCCGTCTGTCCCACTGTCTCACTGTCTCACTGTCTATCTCCATTCGGAGTCGCACAAATGCCCCACAGGAATTGCTCCAAACAGGCCTGGCTAAAACTGGGTAAAAACAAGTAAGAACTATGTTTGCCATAATTTCAACTAAAAGATACCCGATACTCAGTATTCAAAAATGTATTTTCGTTTACTTCATTAGGATTTGATACATTTCTGATTTTCCAAATCTATAATATATTACTTAAAGTAAGATATATGTAACCCATGCGTCATTATAATATTTCTACGTTTCATAAAACTTTACTGGCATTTCATAGCCCAATCTTAAGATCAAAATGACTTTTATTGCATTATAATATAATTACTTATAGCTATTATAGCTATATTCCACAAGGATGTTATGTGTGATCTATTATTCAGATGGCAAAAGAGCGTTTTTTTAACTTTAAATAGATCTTTCCGAGATTTGATTTGAAGTTGATAAATTTATAAAAGATTTCTTGAAGATGAACTGAATTCCTTAAATGTGCATTAGAACAATTTCTTAAGCATTGTATTTATTTTTGTTCTGTGCAATATACCCCTCAGTTCTGAGAGTACTGGGTATCCTAGTTTAGTCCGAGCCCGAGCAGCCACCTAACTCTAATTGGGCATAATTTAAATTCCGCTCGTGAGCGCCATGAATTGTATTTAACGTTTTGGCGCTTCCCCAACTTGGGATTTGGACTCTCTTTGGGGCAGCTAGCTGGCTCGATTGGCGGTAAATTTCATTTGATTTTATTTGGTTTCTCTCGGCCTGGCTACCGATGCAAGGCGGTAGGCCCAAGGAGTCTAGATCGCCGACGACGATCCTCCTGAATACTTCCTTATTTGTTTCCACCTTTATGTCCGTGAGTGTGTTTGTTTTCGATACTCCGCTTAATTGGTTTTGCGCCTAGAGCTGGCTGAAGACCAGACCCACACAAAGATTTTGGGGGCGAGCGAGGCTATTGATAAAAGTTCGATGCCTCAGTTTTGATTAGGAGGAGGCTATTAGAAAATTGAATGTACGTTTGTATGTGGGATTGGCTGCACTGGCCTGCCGGTGTGTGAAAGTCGTTAACAAAAGGTTGCCATATGATTTTTATCCAGTAAATGGTTTCGCAATTGCCAGAACCTTGCAAACGATCGTGCCGTTTTAGTAGGTCGATGTGAGGTGAATGGATGGAAAATAATTTCTTAAGATTGGGTATTAAGTGCACAAAGCGGATGTAAGTACATTCTATAAAAAAAAAATTAACAATAATTTGATATTATCATGTAATCTTATAATATTACTAAGACCTGTTAATTGGGGCTCTCGATTGTTCTACCTTATATATGCATTATCGATTAATTATGGAGCAATAATATCAAATTTATCATTATCCATTTACTTTTGCTCGTCAGTTTATATTATGTAATACTAATAAAACCCTTTTCAATCAAAATAAATACCCATTCATTCATAATATTTCCACACTTATTGAGTAATCAAATTTCAAAGTGATTGCTAACAGGAAGTCCTGTCTCTTGTTTGGAAAACATTCCTAACTCAAAGCAACCTTTCCATTCCAGGAAATCCTTTTTGGAACCCGACGGCCACCACTCCTTCTTTTATAATCCCTATACCTTTTTTGGTGCACTTGTGCCAAACAATTTGTAAGCCATCATTTCAATTAAGATGCATAAATCACGCCGAAATCAGCAGCCTCATCAGGGCAGCAACAGCAACATCATCACCACCGCCATGATTATCCGCCGCGTACACATCGTTATCCTCAAGTACGTCGGGCACTTAAGGCCGGGCATGCGCACAACCTGAAGAAAAAACCCTTTTATTTCCTTCCAGTCCCTCGTCGGGAGTTCGTTTCACTCGATGCCGCCTTGGGTTTGGGCTTTCGATTCTGTTAAACGAACCAATTTAAACGGCGCATCGACAATGGATAAAGTGGCAGAAGTGTGCGGGTGTGTCTCAATCCTTTCCAGGGGCGAAAGGGATCGACGATTGCAGCTCTTTTTAGTCGGCTCGTGAAACTGCTGTTTCACGCTTCAGCAAATGCTCTTCGAGCCACAGCAGCTGTGGAGGTATCAACAAATTGCAGCAGATACAATGCAGAGATGCCAACAGTCCTGTTCTGGATTCCACACTTATTTATGGGTTTCAAATTTAAATGAAGTAAAGGGAATCGATCCTTATTTGTGGAATGAATATTTTACAATTTCGAATTTCCAAGAAGTTTAAAGGAATCGATTTCATTGGATTTGATTGTGGGTTCACACAATTTGAGTAAAGAAAATTCGATTTACTTCTTAAATTTGTATAATGTCCTTGTGGATTTCATTAAAGATACATTTCTAAAATGTGTTTTAATATAGCTGATTTATTTCATTTACAAAATGAATTTCAAATAAAATATTTTAAAGAAAGTTAAAATAAATTGGTGAATTTAAAACCGGGAACACAGCTTGGCCCACACTTTTCCCAGCTCTGAACCCTGAGAACCGGCATATGGAACGCAAACTTATTAGGGAGAACGAGGTATTTATGTGAGTGCCACACGATTGGGCTGCAAATAACCGCGGGCAACATGAAACGTGCGCCACCGTAAAACGTCCAATGAGTATCGTCGTATTAGCAGGAAATATCTTTGAGGGCCTATCTTTAGGATGTATTCGAACTGGCGTTAAGTGCCGCAATTCGCTCCACTCACCAGGGGCTCATTTCACCTGTTGAAATGCCGTGACGTCGTAACAAAAGCACCGCAAGGATAATCGGAAATGACCGTAGGACATCGAGGGTCTGAACAAAGTAGCGGCAAAAAGGTCAGGACTCTCGACACAACGCGAAACTGTCAAAACTGATATAGAGTGGAAAACATGTGGCGAAGGATGGAAAGGAAAACAAGGAAGAACGCTATAGTCGAGTACCTCGACTATCAGATACCCGTTACTCAGCTATATGGAGATATGCAAGCAGCAAAGCGAGATTAAAATGCGCCACCTACCGGCGGTATACAGATTTAAGCGTTATGGGCGTTAGAGTGGGCGTGGCAAATTTTTTTTTGGATCAATCGATAGGTATTGATGAGAACAATACATTTCAGTTAAAATTTTTATTCTAGCATCAAAACTGTAGGAGCCACAGTTTTGGGCGGTTTGTGGGCGTTAGAGTGGGCGTGGCACTGTGCCGAAACAAACTTGCGCTGCGTAAGAAGCTCAGGAATCTGCACGCCAAATCTCAATAGCCTAGCTCCCATAGTTTCCGAGATCTCAGCGTTCATCCGGACGGACAGACAGACGGACAGACGGACAGACGGACAGACGGACAGACGGACAGACGGACATGGCTAGATCGACTCGCCTAGTGATCCTGATCAAGAATATATATACTTTGTGGGGTCGGAAACGCTTCCTTCTGCCTGTTACATACTTTCCGACGAATCTAGTATACCCTTTTACTCTACGAGTAACGGGTATAACAAGGGGCAGACAACAAGGACCGTTGAAGTGCAAGGTGCTCGCAGGACTATAAATATTTTTCTTTGGCACGCCGGGAATTTCCCAATTTCTACTTTAGCCACTTGCAGCTAGTTACCTGCTAAAGTCAAACGAATTGGCTTGCACTAGCCAGTGAAGCAACAGGTAAATCATTGAATGCCTTCCAGATCTTAAGAGAGATCTCTGAAAAGGGCCAAAGAGAGATTGTTTTTGGTGAAAGAGTAAACCATGTTTGTGGATCGTATCTTTCCCTGATAGAGATGTTAACGATGCAGGTGATAAGCCGGCAATGAACTTTGGAAATGCTAGGAGGAAATGGGAGGTGCAATAAGGGTTATATGATCGACTTGATTTCTTTGCCCTGTTATAAAGATTACAATGTATTAAAAGGACTCCTTGTAAATCTCTATTATTACATATCATTTTTTGTATAAGATATTTTGAAGATAATTATATGTATATGAGCAAGTGCAATCGGGAAAATATTTAAGTGTAAAAACAAAATCCACTCTTGGGAAATACTAACATAGAGAAAAAAGGGCCTAAATGAACTGGTACTCAGTTTCCAAAAAGCATTGCATACTTCTTAACAAGAATTCTAAGATATTTTAGAAACATTCTTTATCAGTCAGCTAACATATTCCCAACTTCCTCTCGGACGAAGGCCATAGAGTTTACGATCGGCCAAGATCAATAAAGTCCCTAATTAGAGCCCATAACTCTTTTCGAGGTGTTAGATTTCCCAGAAGGCCAGTGCAACTTCCTCTGGGCTCTGCAGTTTTGTTGATCTGCAAGGTATACTTTGTCTTCTTTCATTGCTTACTTGTAAAGATATGGTTAGAAGGGATGATATAGTAAAATATATAATGTTATTATTGTAATATTGTTTTAAATGCATCCTTTATACTTGCAGGACAACCCTTTGAAAGAGCTATCAAAATTGCTTTAAAGGAACCTAACCTCGAATGCGATCCACAAAGTCCACTCACTCACGGATCTGGTCTGAAGTGCAACTCTCTGCGATCAGTTCATGTTTGACGGTCGTTTGCGTAGGAAGCAAGACACGCGACGGGTCCCGAGTGCTGTGCGATGGGTGAATTCTAGATGATAGTGCCATCGAATAGTGCGGCTGCTGCTCTGGGCGATTTATTTATGTGTCATAAAATTAAACGGCAATTATGCGATAAGCCACTGCTAATAAATAAGTGAATGCGAATTTCTGTATGCCATTTCCGAGTTAGCCTGCAACGCAAGATCGAACGTTTCGGGCTCCTTTTTTTACTTTACACTTTTTCACTACTCGTCGAGGATACGAAAATAGCTGCCGAGAAAAATGTTTGCTTGTCGCTGAGCAGGAAAGTGGGAAATGTGTCTGAAACAAAAATAAAATTAAATAGCGCAAAAATGTTGAAGTAGCAAAGTTACAAAAAGTCTACGCAAAATAGAGCAAAATAAATTGAAAGCAAGCAGATTCGCAAGAGCAAATGCGTAAAAAAAGTGAAAAAAAAAAATTGCGAGCGGAAATCGTAAATGATTTGAAAAAGAAATAAAATAAAAAGAACTATCTGTGCAGTGAAAATAACAAGATTATGAATGAAAATACCAAGCAATAAGTGCCTGCATTTCAAAAGGTCTTATTAAAAGAGCAGAGAAATTAAAACCAAGTTCAAAGTCGAACGGGGTAAAATATGTGTGTTTAGTGATCGTTGAGTATTATAGTTGGTTCAGAATGCAAATCGGAAATTTTATGAAATGGCCACTTGGCCTGGTTCTCATCTTGTTGGCCATCCATTGCCAGGCCAAACGGCAGCGGAAACGAATGCAGGGATTCTCCAGTGCCAAGGATCTTCAGGACTATCGCATGCAGCTCAACGACAGTTCCTTGGAGCTCCAGCAGAATATCGTATCCTGGACAGGAGCACGTATTGCAACTAGTACCGAAAAGAAAAAGAAGTCTCAGTCAGCCCAATCCTCAAGGCGGCACAAAACCAAAAGTGGCCTGATCATTGAAAGTAACATTGCCGACTCGGATTCAATGTTGGCTAATGGCTCCTCTTCGGAATCCGTCACCAGGAAGAAGTCCAACCAGCGTCGTCGCAACGGAAAATTGCAGAAATCCGGCGGAGCAGGAGGAATTGGAGGTGGAGGTAAATGTCTATAACTATGGATGGGGTCTTCTAAATATGGTTCCCTGATCGATTGTGCAGCACCAGAAGTTGCTCGCATTGCTCGCCTTCAGTTTCCTAGTCGCTGGTCGTGTTTCTGCCATATTTGGCCGCTCAAGTTGAAAGAACTTTCATGTGAAAGTTGTGACAGGAGGAAGAGATTCTTTAATTTTTCCTGAGCTGCTCTTTATTTTCTTCTTCTTTTTTTTTTTTCTTAACTGAAATTCTATACGTTATTACGTGAGAGGTCCAGTTATGGTCCGGCAATGTTGCAGTGGTTGTCGCCCAGGTCTTGGCCAGGTCTGTTGGCACATAGTTGCCCTGGCCTTGTGTTGCCTTTGTTGTCGTTAGTTGGAAGTAAAGAAAAAACTTGGCTTTTTGTTATGTGAACTTTGCCTATTAGGAATATGAATCGCCTCGTCCGCTCTAACCAACTGTGAGATGATAGATCTCTGGTTATGGCATCGTGAACTCTGGTTAGTTGGGGGAAAAACAGTCAAAGTGTGTTTTTGAATAGCAGGCATAGGTGCAACAGTTCACTGAAAGTTTACCTTCTAAATTAAACACTGCTAAAAAGCAATTAACCTTGCGAACTTTAACCTAAGTTAAGAGACAACTAATTGTCTCTTGTAGCTAAACAATTTTATATGTTTTAAAGAACCAATATTAATAATAATACTCTTGAATAAACAAAATCAAAACTTGGTAAGAAACCTAATAATTATATTTGCAATTTAAGATCATTGAGGTATTTAACTGAGTATTTATTAAAAAAGAATCACCACGCTAACATTTGTGAGAGCTATTTTTAACACAGAATAATGAATGCATTTTCCAAAAACGAAGAATAATATTATTATCCTCCAGCTTCATCTCATTAAAATTAAACATAACATAAATTTTAAAACAAATTACTTCCAACCTTTGTACAACAATTGGTAAAGCAATTGAACCGATAAACATGGTGAACAAAAGCGATCAACAAAGATGAATAGAAATACAATATGCGCATGTTTACGGCTAGATGTTCTATGTAACCCTTGGAGATTGTCCCCGAGCGTGTGTGTGGGTCCCTGGGCACTTGAGGGCATTTGTTTGTCGAACACATGACCCCGAACCGCTCAGAAAGAACAGATTGAGGATTGAGGACAACAATAGCGCCAGGGTCTCTGGTTCTAGTGTAATTGTGGTCGATTCCGAGAGGCGATGGAGGAGAAGTGTACTATACAAGATGCCGTAACTAGGCATCTGCAACAATGGTCGATTGTTAGGCAGGTCGCCTTTTCCCTGGAGAGGATAATTGATGGAGGCATGCGTAGCGCACCGCCTTCTGGAATGCCTCACGCGCTAATGGCAACATATGTTTCCCAAAGAACCCAGAACCCACACACATGGCCATAGAAAAAGGGTTTATTAAAATATCTTCTCCACTGCCATGGTTATAAAACTTAAGTGGCTTACTGTGTCGACTTCTTCCACAGTTTTTGTCGTTAAAATTAGTTATGGACTACAACAAAGCCAGAGCAAATTGGTTCTGCTTCCAAGTTGCGTGTGGAAATATTTGGATACATTTCATTT